CTTTAGCTCTGCGGCAGCGTGTTGTTATTATGAAACCGTTTAGAGAACGTGTTTGTGAACACCACAGTAATTTAGTTAGATTACCAAGGCGACGGCTCTGACGCGGCGGCAACGTATGACGATGAATGCAATGTAAGCATATGACATGGAGCACGGGGGCAGGTTGGGTGGCTGCAGCTTGAAGCTTGAAGCTGGGGGAGCTGCCGCTGCTGCTGCCGCTGCTGCTGCCGCTGCTGCTGCTGCTGCGGACGTTGCCTGGAAAATTGGCAGCCAAACGCGACTCACAACGAATGTGGGCCAATCTATCACTGATGGAGCAGCAGCTCTGCTGGCGCAGAGTCTTCCAGGCTGTACCATGAAGCAATCGCGTTCCCGTTCCCGTTTCGGTCGAGGCGTGTGAATAGAAACGTTAGCGCTGGCACGTTCTGGTTGCCCAGCCTGATAAAAGTTGATTGCAAATTTATAGAGGAGCTCGGTGTGTGTGTGTGCGCGCACAGATTGGCCATAAATGTCAAGTTCCCTGTTCTCTCTCCCTATCTCTCTCTCTCTCTCGCTCTCACTCTCACTCGCTCTTTCTCTAGGTACCACAAAACAGCCAACAGCGGGAACAACTTAAGCGCCCAGTTTGATTAGAATAGCAATCTATCTACCGCTTCAGTTATCTATCTATCTATCAATTTATCTACACACACACACGTATGTATGTCTTTAAAGTGTCATGGTAAACTATCAACGTGATTCGTTAGTTCCAAAGAAATACATATATCTACATATGTTACTTCAAAACAATCGATAACTCTATAAAATATATCGATAACACAATCGAGCTCATTATCGCATATATCGATATTCATGTAACATACATATATAAATCAACTTGATTTGTTAGTTCCAAAGAAATACATATATCTAGTTATATAGTTGCAAAATAATCTATACATTTATTAAATATGTCGATAACACAATCGAGCTTGTTATCGAATATATCGATATTTATGTTATATATGAAAATCGGATTGTTTATATCAAATCAATCAATAGTATTGATTATTGGATTTATTTTAAATAGTATTTTTCCAACTCATGCTAACAATTTCGATTGCACCAATAATTTTCAAGTTTTGTTTAGATTAAAATCTTTAAATTAAAAATCCTACTTGTAGTTATCGATTATCAAGTTTCATTACATTCGCGATCCATTGGCTAACATTTTATGTCGCCTCTTTTTAACATTACTTTCTGAGTATCTATGTATAATAAATTAACATAACTCCTTTAATTAGCCATTCATAATGCATTTAGCTTTGTGTTTGTAGCAGTTTTAATAGTATAGAGATATCGATAGCACTTTATATCGCATCGATTGGCTGCACTTGTAACTATCGACTGTTCTTGCTAAAATCGATAGCTATTAATTTTTGTTATTTCTCCTTAATTGCAAAGACAACAATGAATCATGCAGTTGCAATTGTTTTTCAATCAATATACTGTGTTGATATATATCATATATTAGTTTTACATACCCCACTTCAAATATTTCCAACAATCGATTGAAACAATAATTGGATCTATCGTTAATTGTCAATTTTCGACAGATATTCGATAAGGGCAGCAATTGACTATCGATAGTCGTTAAAATGTCAACTGGCAGAAGTATCTAATGCATGCATTATCGATAACTTTGCAAATGGCCTATTTTCAAAACCAAAACACAGCGCTTCTATTATTTTTTCGATGCTATCTATCTTCTGTCCGTCAGTGTCCGTAGATAAGCTACCTGTCAATTGTCAACACGAGAACAACTTCCGCAAGCACTCAATCATCTGGCAGCTGCTGTAACATCAGCTTTAACGGCAGCGTTAGCATCAGCATTTGCCACGAAAGTGAAAACCGATTCGAGGAATTGTCCAAAGACTGCTCTTCTAATTGAATTAATTAGCGGCAGCTATGCAAATGCGGCAACTTGTTGCACATTTATTTTACGATTTTTATTCGACTCTAGATGGTTACTTACTTAACGTGTTCGCCAAGTGTCAACACAAACACAAGCACCACAAATAACGTGAGCTTAACAGTCGCGCATATATACATATTCACATGACTATTCACATAAGTATTCACATGAGTATTCACATAAGTAATCACATATGCTGGCCCATTATTCTTTAAACTGCGCCGCAAGCAGCCGCAATCTGACTGATCTCGATCTAGAGCTCTTACGGGCCATACTCTATCTAGAGATTCCTTTGGCTTTGTCATGCGCTACAGAGGAAAGAAGTTTGAATATTTTATATGTTAACTTTTTACCTATTCCTTTCTCATAAAATAGTATGGAAGACCCAGTTCTCTAGCATAAATAAATGGGCGTGGAAAAGCAAACGCACCTAAAAGCCGAAAGCTGGTTCGAACCGCAAAGCCCACCATCATCTTTGGCTTTGTCTTGTTTTACATATGATAGAAATATGAACATTTTATATATACTTTTTCCATATGTTCTTTTCTCATAAACTTATATGGGAGAATAAGAATAAGAATAATCCTCTAGCATGAATACATGCCCCTGAAAAACAAGGTTCATCAAGCGTATCTAAAAGCAGGACGCTGGTTCAAACCGCGAACCAAACCATCATCTTAATATTTCTTTTTTTTTCGATGGTTATTATGTTTATCCCAATACGAGTCCAATCAAAAGACATCCCTTTATTTTCACACCCTTTCAATTCTAAGCCTCTTGGCGTAATTTAGTAAAGGGCATCTGTGCTTCGGCGTGTCTAGCTGTGCATTCTTATGGCGGTTTGTTTGCACTCGTATTTCATTTTAACAGCAGCAGCAGCGACGACGACGGCGAAGGCAACGCCAACACACTCCAAAGCTGCTGCCAAGTAGACCTTCAGACGCCAAACACTCCAACGCCAGCCGCGAACAGCCAGCCAACGCGACAAGAGCAGTCAGCCAGTGGGACAGCTGGACAGGTGGGACAGGTGGGACAGGCGGACAGGTGGGACAGTGGGACAAATAGACAGCGAGACAGTTGGACTGGCAACAGCCGACAGTTGGGCTTGCAATTGCGCACTTTTGAATGCGACTACAATTTTGATATGTACAACACCACAAAAAGCACCACAAAGCACCACCGAGCAACACGCGGCAACACCACACACAGAGACCGCACGGTCTTCCATCTTTATAAGTAGAAAATAGCTTGCATTCAAATTTGGCAAGTCGATGCGTTAATGCCCTGCATAGAAAAGAGTTTGGCCAGACTGACTAACAACTTAACAAAATGTAAGAGCTAGCGGCTGGAATTTTGACTGCAACTACCTTTTGTGCCGATATAAGAGCTGGTTTCGGACAATTCGACCTCTAAGTGGAGGAAAGCATGGATCAAAGTTTGCGTGAAAACACAAGATCAACAACCGATCAATACAAGTTTGCTTGGCAAGCGTGACTTCATAAACTTGCGTGCTTTTCTTTTTTCCTCGCTTTATCAGCTACAATTCTGTCATATTCCTTGACAGGAAGTTTAAGAGATCGAACCCCATGAATAGAGCGGAGCAGGAAGTGTAGAAATCGAGCCCTTTGTGAGTAGAACGGAGGAAGTGTAGTAAAAAAACAAAGTATTCTAATAATTATAACAGAATACAATTCTGTCGTATGTATTCCTTGACAGGGTCTTGAGTAGCGCACGGACCAGGAAATATATGGAGCGAGCCCCTTGAGTAGAGCGGACCAGGAAGTTTAAGGATCGAACCCCCTTGAAAACCGAGTATCCCAATATAGTAATAATTAAATGGTTTTGATCTTGACTTAAATAAAAGAGGCTTACCATATGTAAATCCCTTTTTGGGATGTATTATTACTCCCAATCAAAATCTAAATTTAAGACCTTTAATCCTTGGGGATCAGCTATTTTATATGGAAAAGCAGCAGCTATATCAAGTTTCTGCAGATTGGCAAGCCTTTAAGTATTCAGCACACTTCATGCCCAAACGCGTATACCCGCATTGTTAGGGTATATGCATATAAGAAATATAGCCGCCATGTGTTTTGCAGCTCATTTGTTTATTCAGTGCTTGATTCATTCACCTGCGCTCGCAGTTCGCAGTTCGCAGTTGGCCTCAAGTGCATTCAGGCAGCGAGTCGGCGGGTCGGCGGGTCGGCGGGTCGGCGGGTCGGCCTGACTGTGGATATGTATGTATGTTTGTGACTTGGCGGATTGACACCTGACATGGCTGCAGAGCCGCAGAGCTGCACAGCTGATAGTCAGTCGAGTGGCCCGTAGCTCAAATTGCCTTATCTCTAGGGGGCTGCTCCGGCTGCGAGCTGCGGCGGCGGAGTCTGCTCTAGTTGCTTGCAAATATATACCTAAGTGTATTTATATTAGATACGACTCGTGTCTATATAATTATATAAGGCCCGATTTGGTTTGGCCTGTGCGCAAAACCACTCGCAGCGCTTGGCAGCGCAGGCGTTGAATTATTAGAATGAATAAACTTGTAGATGATTCATGCACTCATTTACTCACCCATCGATCGGTCGATCTATCACACGATTTATGGCCATGTTGATAGGCAAATATCCGTTTTAGCGCTGCAACTAATCAAAATGTCGAAATGAGTACTTAAGGGTTACATTTTTTATCGATTGGTGTGTAATAAATGTATCGATAAATCAATCGATTTGAAGGTGTAACAAGATATGATTGCTTAATATAGATATAGATTAAAGATATAGCTACAGATACAGATAGATATAGAAATGGATAAAGATTGATATAAATATATGGATAAATTTATATAGATATATTGATATATACGTAGATAGATACAGAGATACATAGATAAATAGATAATTAGAAATATAGATATATAGATATATACATAGATATATATACAGATATAAAGCTAAATATATATATAGATATAAGGATTTATAGATTCATAGATTTATAGCTTAAGATTTATAGATGTATGTAGATATAAATAAAAATCAAATGCAGATTGACATTATAACTTTCTGTATTTTTTATTGTATTCAGCGTATGCGTACAAATCGAATGTTGGATATGGTTTAGTATGCTTTATAAGTAAGTTTATATGTTTCAATATAATCACACTAATACTACTATCAGTCTACGTATGCATAAGGGTTATATAATCATATAGATATATATGTATATGTGAGTGTTAACAAAAAAAAAGTTGAAGGACTTTAACTGAGGTGGAGTCGAATAACTAAAACTAAAACTAGGCCAACTTCGTTTACAACCTGCGCATTTGCACTTTGAAATCATAGGTATATACATATAGATATAGATATAGATATAGATGTATATTAGGAAATTGTTATAAATCATAAATATATATTATAAACTTTCCACTTTCCGTTCTCGACGTCAATGACACAATCACAAAAATAGGTCGCCTAGCCGACCGAGGCGCTTATTAAATAATACCCATAAAGATTATGCATATAGTTTAAAACACATCACAAAAATGTTTGTTTTTCCTTTTTCTTCTTCTTTCGTCTGCTTGAAGTAGGTTTTTTGTATATAATAATATTTGTTGTCTACCATTTTTTTTTTTTTTTTGTTTTAGTTTTTCATATGCCTATTAATTGATTCATATGTGTGGTATATATGTCTATATATGCGAATCTGCAATGCAAGTGGACACTACTTTTTTTTCCAACTATTATTATATATTTTCTTTGCGATCCGAGTCGCTTGTATATATTTTTATCTACTGATATTTTGGTCAGATCTTATGGAAACACTGCGCTCAAAATTCAAATTCGAATACGTGCACTCAACGAAAAAAATTGTTACCCAAATTGAAGAAATATTTGCCACAAATTAAAAAGGTTTTTCCAATTTTCAACAAACTTTAAAAATTAAAATAATTATTTAAAAAAATTTTTTAAATTTGGAAAAAAGTTTTCATGTTGGCAAATTTTCAAAATTAGTAGCACATTTTTTTTTTTGAGTGTGTAAGTATACAAGTGCATATATATATATGGTGTATATATGTGTGTGTGTATATATATGATATAGTTTGCTTCTTCTTATTTGTTTCGGGGTGGGCTCAAATCATATTTAAATTCTATTTGGACAGTCTCTCAAACAGTTGGATTCATATTGCTAAAAATTGTTTTTCTATTGAAAAGTTTCTTCATCAAAAATCAAAAAAAGTCTTTCAAAAGGTGTTGCTGTTGTTGTTATTGGGGGAACACTGTGGTCTATTGGTGGTACTATACGTGCTGGTGCTGCATGCTGCATCCATATCCGGCTTAGACCCGTCGATTGCTCTGCTCCTGCTGCAGATTCACATTGTTCATCACTGCGTTCATGTCCACGACGACGGCATCGTTCAGCTGGCATTTGCCCGGCGACTCCAGCTCCGTTTGACCCTCGAGCAGGCCGACATGCAGTCCATTGGGCGTGCCAGCTGGCAGATCCTGCATTTGAATGCATCAAACATCAGAGGGGGGCTTGCTTGGGCAGTGCGAATCACCTGAGTTACCTGATAATTGACAGCAGCAGCGTCCAGGGCCATCAGCTCCTTGCGGGACAGCTCCTCGACGACGGCGGCGGCATAGCAATCCCCGAGCATGTTGTTGGTGGTGCGAATGCGATCACTGCAATATCTCAGCCTTAAAATATCCACGCAAATACAGTGAACACCCTGCCTAACGGACACAGCTGCCTTGCGAACTAGAGCTCTAATTTGTCTTCTATTTTCTCAGATTTATCAATATGATATATGTATATATGTATATATATATACTTATCATTAGATATTTGTAGATATTTCCTGGAGGTAGCTTGAAGCCTGCGAGATCAGTTTGCTTAGAAACGGACAGACGTACAGATAAGCCTGGCTATGACGAACAGTTAACTTATAATATATACTACTAAATATGCATTATAGTATCAGAATTATCTTCCTCTAAGCGAAACACATTTACAGAGAGAGAAATAATGACTCTGACTCACGTACAGACAGACCTGGCTATGACGAACAGTTTACCCATAATATATGCATCTATATATGCTTTATAGTAACCGAAATATCTTCCTCTAAGCGAAACACAGTCAAAAAAAAAATAAATTATGCCTCTGCATTGCTGGTCCGCTGAAGGGAGTTTTCACTGTATGTGTCTATGTTCACGTGGTTTACTTACACAAACCAATCCACGGCAAAGAGCAGCGTCACATCCTGAACGGGCGCATCGATGGCGGTGAGGACAACTAGGAGCAGGACCAGAGCCGCGCTCGGCACGCTCGCGGAGCTCATGGAGGCCGCCGTGGAGGTGAGCAGCACGGTGAGGAGTTCGCCAAAGCCGAGAACCATGCCGCTCATCTGGGCTATGAAGATGGAGGCGACGGCTATGAAGAGGGCGGTGCCGTCCATGTTGATGTTGCAGCCGATGGGCAGGACGAAGCGTGTGATGCGCGGATCGATGCGCAGCTTCTCGTTCATGCAGCGGAATGTGAGCGGCAAGGCGGCGGCGCTGCAGGCGTTGCCAGATCAATTGAAGTGCGTTTCGAGCGTGGTTTCAAATTCGTTATCGATTGTGATTTAAATTCGATGGTGTTGTTGTTTTTTTTTTGTGAGTTTTGTGAGTTTTCAAATCAAAAGAGTGTGTTTTTTTTTTTTATAAAAGACAACGTATGGAAAATCAAATCGAGTGGTAACCAAAAAGAAGGAAAAATACTTGTAACATGTTAAACGTTCGCATAACAACCAGAGAGAGAGTGAGAGAGAGGGGGCAATATATCTCTCCAGAGAGAGAGAGAAACAAAGAGAGAGAGAGAGCATAGATTTTAATGGCTTACGTTGATGCGGTGGCAAATGCGGTTAGCATGGCCTCAATGAGGCCCGCGTAGAACTTGAAGGGATTGCGTCGCACGAACACAAAGTAGATGAACTGCATCACAATGAACTGGTAGATGATCACACCGATGGCCACCGTTATGATGAACCAAACGAGCTGCGCCATCACCAGACTCAGATTATCGACACTCAGTATTTTGCCAGCGATGACCGAACTGATGCCCACCGGTGTCAGCCACATGACGCACGTCACCATTTTCATGATCACCTCGAAGACGGCCGCAAAGAAGTCCACAACCACCTGACCCTTCTGCCCGATGGTCCCCAGCACGGTGCCAAACACAAGGCAAAAGAATACAATGCCCAAAGTATTTGTGCCGCTGCGATATTGCACATCCCGCACCAGCACCTCCACCTCCTCCAGTTCCGGCAGCTGTCGTTGCGCCTCCACGCCGTGCACCAGCGCCGCAGCCGTATCGTTTGTCACCGTGTCATTCGGGCTGTGGACCATGCTCGGCTTGGGCAGGTAGACGGTGTGTGCCTGCTGTATCGATGCCTGGAATAGGTTGTCCGGAAAGACGTTTCTGCAAGCATTCAAAATATTCACAGTCTGTAACGGACGCCGCGAGAAGTTAACAGTATTGTAAGCAGTGTAAGCTAACAGTAAATTAAGCAGTGTAGCAAGCAGTTGTTCCAGTTCCAGTTCAAAAGGTAATAAGTAGTGTATACTATAGTCAAGCAGTTCCTGCTGCCAGGTAACAGGGTAATAAGCAGTGTAGTTTTGCATATCATTTCCCAGTTTTAATGCTTCAAAGCAGTTCATAATGCTTCAAGCAGTGGATTATTCATATACATATATTTACCGGAAAAAGTCCACTTTTACCAAATTTAAAAAAAGTCCTGTCTTTAACACTAAAGGTTATAAATAGGTTATTAAAATAAATACATAAAAATAAATGCTTCAAAGATCTATCGAACTTATTCCATGTGCATAAAAAGCTTGTATAAACAACGATAAGTAATCTTTTACTTTTAATCACTTTTCAGGACGCTTACTCTTAAAATGTTAAAAGGTTCTTTCAAAATATTTATATATAGGTTAATGGTAACAAATATATACACCTGCGGCAGCTGACACCTTCAAAACCTGGAATATTGCTACTAAAGAACAATTTAAAGCTCAAGCCTCAGAAAAACATATCTTCAACGTACGAAAATCATGAGTGCACCTGAAACCCCGCTTAAGAAACGTTAAGTTCTTTAAACTACAAAAAGCAGTGCACTGCTTAATATAATACGACTTGCAAGCAGTATATTTTCGCTCACCTGCCCAAATCCAAGAGGCTGTCCAACAATTTGACCGCACGCCTGTCCGACGCACGATCATCCGCATTGTGCAAGTCCGGATTACCCGGATGGATGAGCAGCACCAGAGCAATGCCCAGCGCCGCGTTGAACAACGAGGTGCTGGCGAAGTAGAAGAGCGTGCGCAGAGCAATTTTGCCATTCATCTTGGCATTCAAACTGGCCGAGCCGGCGATCAGGCTAGAGATGACCAACGGCAGAATCATTAGCTTCAGCACGCGCATGAACAGCTCGCCCGGATACGAGATCAGCATGATCGAGTCCTCGTGCAGATGCAGCGGACGCAACGAGAGGCCTGCGCAAAACGAGAAGAAAACATGTGAGGATGAGTAGAGAAAAAATCAAAGAACTAAAGTTAAAATCCGGTCAAGGTCGTTAGTACTTAAACTGAGTACAAAATTCTTAGTTCAAGCATTTTCTTTGGAATGGTCAACTTTTAAATGCAGGAGTCGGATATTGGGAAAGTTTCATGCTTATGCGAGCTTGCTAGTTCTTGTTATACTCTGTTCACAAAGTGTGAAAGAGTATATTGGTTTTGTTCATAACTTAAAACATTCTTCAGTTAAACATCTAGCGAGCTAAATCAAGAACATCTTTAATTTAATTAAAATAGAAGTAAACTTAAATTAAATTCATAAATTGATCTCAATCCCATATTGACTTGATTCTTAGCCAGCTCCGGTATGAAAAAAACGTATTTTTAAAGCTATCTTCATGAATTCTGGCATAGCTACGTTTTTTTGTTGCAGGCAGTGCATATGTATGTATGTGGAAACCGACTGGATCGGAGCACTATATCATATAGCTGCCATAGGAAAGATCGATCAAAAATCTATTTTTGTTTCAAAAAGTTTTTGTTTATCAAGATATTTTGACTTAAGCTAGGCATTTGCTTTTATTAACAATGGACCACTATATCATACAGCTGCCATAAGAATGGTTGGTCGAATATTTACTTCTTCCATGAATTCCTTTTTTGTTTATCAATATACTTTGACAAAACTTGGTATTTATCTGTTTAACTATGGTCCTTTAATATAAACAAACCCCTTTTAACAACAGGAACCCAGATTATGTAGCTGTCATAGAAATAGATCGTTGAAAATTTAGTTTTTGTTGAAGATATCTTGATATCTTATTTAATAATTTTACTATACTCCCTGCATATAAGCTTAGTCTTTTCAACAATGGATGAAAAAATTGTTCCCAAGATGTTTTAAACAAAATTGGCACCTGGTTTTACTCTCTTCTCCTTTTTATGTGGGAACAAATTTGTATGAATTTCGGACTACTATATCATAAAGCTCTACAGAAGGAATCGGTTGGGTATTCATTTTTGTCATCATTCCATACAAAGTTCCAGATATCATGACTGAACTCAGGACTTACGAGCTTTATATGTAATATGTCCATAAGAGTATTTTAAAGTCGAAGATTGCCTTTCTTTCGTGCGTGTTCATGTAAACAGTACTTTGTGCTTAATGCGAGCTTCTTTTCTAATAGCAAGAATAGTTAATTTTAATTTGATCATATTTATGAAGTTGATTTAAGAATCAAATGCTCGCTATAAATGTCAGCACATTCTCATTAAATTTTAGTTGGGAGCTGTGTCGGTAGAGTATATCTAAGTCTAAGTCTAACTAAGCCAGTTGGGCCATTTGAGGTCTACTCACCGAGAATGACGCCCAGCATGACGCCGGAGAGCGTGACAAGGAGCATGAGATTATCGCAGAGCCATTTTCGATATCCGGTCAGCTCGATGGGGGCATCGCTGCGCTCCGTGGTCTTCGGTGGCAGCTCGGTGCCGTGCACGGCTGCCGTCATATTCGATGGACCCATTTTGGTGAAGAGGTAATCTGAAAATTTCTCAGACTTTTCCATTGTACGCGCGGCCGTCGACAAATAACAAAAAGGGCAAAACTTGCAGCAAAAGCAACAACGAGAAGAACAAGGAGAACAAGCAATGCGAGCGAGACAGCTAGAGTTGTGTGCGTGCGTTGAGCGGAACGGAGCGTGTATCCCTTTTAGCGGGGGCCCACTTTAAAATAATACTTATATTGCTGGGCTGATAAGCTGTCTCCACAATTGACAGACTGTGCGCGCGAATTATTGATTTTTTAAGTACTTCACATTGAACTTGAGTATGTTAATTAGGTAAGCCATTTGGTTGACTTCAGCTCCGACTGCGACTGCGACTCCGACTCCGACTCCGATTTCGACTCCCACTTGGCTAGCCACGCCCACTGCGGCAACGCCTATCGATGTGGCGTCGTCTTTTTCAGCGTCAACGTGCGCGTTTTACTGTTAGCGGCGTCTCGGACAGCGCCTAACACCAAATCTCGCTCGTTGAATGGCTCCGTTGTTGTGGCTTTCTGTGCGGCCGCTTTCCCTAGAATTGGAGCAACTGCGTCCCGCTGGCCGGGCGCTGACTGCGGCTTGTTGCACCTGCACCTGCACCTGCCGCACTGCTCGAAATAATCGATAATGCTCCTGCAGCTGCTGCGACTGTGACTGTGGCTGTGGCAATGAGGCTCACGCGGAATCTGTGTCACACTGCCGGACGGACACGGCGCCTGAGCTGCACTCACTCCACTTGGGGACAACTACGGAGACGCAGACGGAAACGTAGACGGATACGTTGACTTTGACGGGCGAGAATGCCTCACTTTCTTTTAATTGGCCTTTGGCTGCACACTCTCCTTTTTAGCTGCACTTCTTTTGCTTTCGTTTTCACTATGCACTTTGCTTCGTTTATTTTTCCTTTTATTTCTATTTTTTTTTTTGTTTTTTTGTTGAGTTGCGTCTGCTTTGATTTCCACTTCCGTTTCCGTTTGCTGCGCTGCTCGAACCGTCGACTTGAAGCTTGCTCCTGTGAATGCGCTCCGCTCGGCCTGTCGCACGCTTTTATGCTGCGTCGTCCTCGCGGAGAGCGCGAAGTTTCGTTTTGCCATAATCTGCCTTGGAGAGCGCCACTCTCCCTCTCTCTCTCTCTCCCTCTCGCTCTCTCGCTCGCTCATTATGGCATCAAATGCCGGCAAGTCGAAGTGGAACACAGGCGACACGCATTTGCAGCTCGTTTGATTGACGCTCACAATTATCTTGAAGCGGAAAATTCCAAACGGACTCAAGACTTAAATTGATTAGCTTAGAACTGACGCTCCTTGAGTCCCCCCACAGCACCCACCCCCCCCCCCACCAGACTCCTCACCATCGCAATATTATTATCCTTGTTCCTAGGCAACTCTTGACTTTCTACCTCAGGCACCCCTCCCCAACGCAAAGCTTACTCAATTTAATCGCCTTTTTATGGTCTTGTAGAGGGTTTTATCACTTTGTTACGAAATGTGTGACGCTTTGAAGGAGACATTTAGCAGCTCATTAATTGTGTACAAATATTTCGGATCGGAACGATAAGCTGACTTTATTAAATACCAATTATTAACTTTTGTGCTTGTATAAATCTTCTCCTTTTGATTAAATTTGTTGTATATGTTTACAAGTGAATTCAAGTCATTCAGGAACTTATTCAAAAAAGGAATCAATAAGGAACCTATCTAAACAAGGTTCCTGAACCGTTTGAATTAACATCTGGACCCGATAGGTGGCGCTGCGATTTGGTTATATAGAATTTTCATTTAATTTTTTATTTTTGGCGTATCTTTTTTTTCGGATTCTTTTGGTGAATCTTTTTTTGTACTTTTTTTTTTTTAATATCAGAATATATATATAACAAATTTATAAAAACCTTGATATAGGTTGAATTTTGATACCCTTGTAGGGTTATTATATTTTGTCTTCACACGTGTAACGCATAGAAGTAGAAATCTCTGGCCCCATAGAGTATATATACATTTTTGATCAGCATTAACAGCCGAGTTGACACAGACATGTCTATATCTGTCCGCTTTTCACAATAAGTCTCGGTCTACAAGGTTAAAAAAGTTTCGGTTTGTCGAAGATATCCTAACTTTCACGTCATTTTGGTTTTAAAAGAACAGCTTCGGGCATCGACAGACAGCACAATATATTACTTAGGAAGAGAACATTAACTCACAGATCTGCCCTGCTGCAAGGGTATTAGAAATGCAGCTAACCCAAAGCTCAACTGTCTCTGCCTGTTAATGGTTTCTAATGAGCTGCCTGTGGTTGGGTGCTGTGGTGCAGTTGTTCTGTTGTCTGGCTGACTTGCGGCAAAGGTCAGACCAATCGATCCATTGCAGCGGCTCCTGTCAAGCTGTCATTTCTCAAATCATGTGCTCAGTGTGTTCTCCTGGCCATATTAACGTTTGGGCAGACATCCAACTGAATAGGGCACATATATATATTTGTCTATATATATATTTAACAGCGGGTCGCATCGATCCGTTTGAATTTGGTTGTGGCCTAAATTTACCGAAGCACCATGTGCCAACTAGATGACGAACGTCTGCAACTAGCTGACACGCCCGTCCGTCCGTCCGTCCGTCCCTTCGATCCTCTGGCAAATAATTAAGATAATTGCGCGATATGTTTGCAGTCGCGTATCCACCGCAGCCATCGGCTGTCCGCTTCGCTTTGATATACATTTTGTACGCTGTCAGTGGCGATTTATTATGATGTGCATCTATATCTATATCTATATATATATATATATATATTTATGTATTTGTATATTTATGGTGTGTGCCGCGAACTTGAACTTGAACCTGACATTGGCTGCGGCGCCCTGCGTACCCGTTTAATCGAATGTGCCACCATTTTCAAATCGAGCCCAAAATGTTTGCCAATTCAATTAAGTTGTGCGCTCATCTTTAATTCGAGTATATTTTTTTGAGTATGGCCGTTGGACACGATTTGCTTTTTGTGGCCCTCTCGAAGGTCATTTGGGATTCCCCCGGCTCAGGTGTGAGCTGGCGTGTGTTCCATTTAATGATTACCTTCGAGTCGTAGTCGTCAGCAAAAAACTTGCTGCTTCGAACACGGTGTTAATGTCCACAACTCTTATCTCTAGCTGTCTTGTCGATCGCATACACTAGCCTACAAAATATGGGCACAACTGTCAGTTGCCTTTTGATTTTGGCTCGAAAATGCGAACAAAAATTATATAAATATTTTTGACCATTTTTTGTTGCAAGAAAAGATTATTTTTAAATCATTGAAATTAAATTTAAATGATTTTTCACTTTGTTAATTATTTCCAATATTTTCATTTTATTTACTTTACTATTACTATTACTATTATTATTAATCTACTCAAGAAAAGGGGAAGTATTTCTAACCCTTGCTCCTCATATATATATAATTCTTATCAACATCGGACGATTTTATCATATAGCTGCCAGATGAACTATCGGTCGAAGTGTAGGTTCTTGTATGGTAAACTTTTTTGTTTATCATTGAAATCCTGATCAAACTCGGCTTTTATAAGTTTCTCTATGCTCCTCATACATATATACATATGCAACATCTTATCAGACCACTTTATTACTTAGTATTATTATGTATTCCAAGAAAGTTTCGACAAACTCAGCTTCAAAGTTCTCACATATCTACAAAATCGTTTGGCATATGACTACAAGAGTATTGAATCTTCGGCGTGCCTAAAATATCGCTACTTCCTTTTTTTATACATAAATTGTATTTCAATTTATTTGCTTGCTTCCATCTGTCTGTTTATCATCTTAAAAAAAAAATTCTAATATATGTCCTTAGCATGTCTTAAACATTTTATGTACGTCCTCTAAAGCCTGAGAAATGCAAATCGCATTTAATTTTGACGTATAAGTTGCCTAGGAGTATACAACTGCATGCCAGAGAGACTAGAAGCCGTGTGAAAAGTCTACAAAATTGTTTTGGACAGAATATGAAACATATCGAAAAGTATTTAAAAGAAATGTATATTTGAGATTAAGTACATTTGACTGAAAATAATAAGAGGCTTTGAATAATGAGCCGTCTAAGTATCTATTTTTACTAACTGAGTTGTTGTACTAGGATAAAACAGAGCATGGAATTGTTGCTGCTCGCTTGACGCTTCTAATTCCCAACAAGTTAAAGGGAGACAAGACGCTTGCAAGTCTAGAATTAAAAGCAAAGTGCGCTGCTGATAGAACCAGAAGTTTCTTGTAAAAACTATAGAGAACTTTCTGGTGTTCATATTTTATGGTCGACCTCGAGCCGGCCAGCTGCATAAAAACCTAACGATAATTGCATTTGAGTAAATTGTATTTGCCAGACTTTGCGAATGCCTTCAACGAATTGCTCAGCTTGAAGTTGACTAACAAAGTGGGAATTTATTAAAGTAATAATAATAAAACTAAAATTGTTATTTGAAGAAAGCAAAACAAAATTTTAATACGAAAAAAAAGGTTGTTTTCATTTTGAGTCGCATTTTCGTGTAGGAAATAAATTACAGCTGACTGGCATGCGAAATATTTTGTGGACATGTGTTATTTTTAATGAGCTTTTAATAACCATATTTGGACACATAATTTGTTGCTTCTGCTGCTCTGCTCTGCTCTGCTGACATTTGATGGGCTTGTCGCCAGACTTACCTCTAATAATAAGCCACAAGTTACCCAGGTTTATGCTGGTTTCTAAACACTTTGCACTCGACACTTTGGCGCCTTGGCAGCAGCTTTCACTTTCCACTTTCCACTTGCGACTTTAGCTTTAACTTTGAATTAATTTGTCGTTGCCACGGCGCGTATACTTAACGTTTGTGCCAATGCAATCAGCTGGTGGAACTTTCGCAGCAGCTTGAGCTGCTGTTGCATCAACAGTTGCAGTATGCGTTGCACCGCTGTAGCCGTTTTAGTGATTTTGCGGCTGGTTTGGGTGGTGCAAGGTCGAGTTTGGCTGTGGCCCTTTAATCACCTCTGACACCTGTGCGCCGCAAATTCAATTAGGTCAGGCCAGGGAAGCGAGCGAGCGAGCGAGAGAGAGAGAGAGAGAGAGAGAGAGAGCACGAGGTAGCCAGAGCAACGCAATCACGATGCAATAACTAAAGCCCGCAACAACAAAGGGCTTAAGATTTTCCTTTCGTATTTGTTTTTATTTTTTTTTTTGCCACGTTTGCTATGCTCTGTGCACCTGCTCGCTGTCTCTGGGCATTATAAGTTACGTGTCGTTACCTCAACACGGAAAAGCGCGAAACGGCGAAACCGCTCGAAATGGAAACGTTTTGTAAACTGCGGCACGAAATTGCGCAGGGATCGCGTTTTAACCAGACGATCGTTAATATATAGATTAGTACTTTATGCACACACACACACAATTTGTATGTACTTATATTAATCGTAGACACTTGCCAACTGTTTAACAACTGCGATTTGTTTGCTGGCTCGGAGACGCGTCAGTTGGGCTCGGCTATTGAATGCGAAGTGAGCGATAATACTTTTCTTTTAGGCAGCTGCACAAATTGAACAAGAAATAGGCGGAAAAAACAGAAAAAATAAATAAATTGTATTCTACATTTCTTTGGCTTTGTTTTGGTCACACACACACACACACATGTCGGAGAATTTACATACGTAGCCATTATACCCAAGCAATGGGGTACTATAAATTTGTCACGGAATGTGTGACGCTTTCGAAGGTGGGCTTTTATGATGCCATTAGCTATATATATACAAATAAATATATATTCCTGAATAGGGGAAGAGCTCATTAAATTGGGCGAAACAAGCTGATTCGTGGCCGTCTAAACGTGTGCCATTATTTTTAATTCAAATATATTTATACACTGAATAGGAAGTAAAGGGATCGAGCCCCGCTAAGACAAAGCTGTAATAGACTATAGTATTTTATTTTATTTTATTTTATTTTATTTTAGTTAATTCTGTTTCATTATTCCTTTGGCTACATACTATTATATTTAAATTAGGGATCGAGCTACCATGAAGAAAAAATAAGTTTAAATATAGTCTAAAGTCTTTTAGTTAATTTTAAAGTATTTATTTCCTTTGCTGCAGGTAAATATGCGAGTCGAGCGATGCGGACAACTCTTATATCTTATAGCTGTGATTGGCTGAAAACTATTTTTTTTTTTACAAGCAAATATGGTTGTCCTTAATAGTCAATATCGGACGACTATATTCTATAGCTATAAGATATATTATAGCTTGTTCTACACTCGATATTTTCCAATTTGTATTATATTTATTTATATTTTATAGTTTTTTGAAAGAGGAAAGAAAAGGCAATGAAAGCTAGTTTATTTTCATGACTTTTTCTTTGAGCTCTTTACTACCCCAATAATCGATAATAATTAATATCGACATAATAATCGTTAATAATCGTTGTTGGGATAATAATCGATAACAAACTTATTGAAAATTTCGTAATCAATGTGGCAGCTCGTAATTCGAGCTCTTAAACTTTAAAGCGACAAATTGGAAGAAAAGAAAACAGGATCAATACCTCGCTAGTCTCTTCAACATATCACAAAATAGATGTCAAGAGCAGCTGACTATAAAATGTTCTTAACTGCCGCAGGCCAAGTGTACTGTATTAAAGGTTCGGTTTCTTGAAAATAGATTCTTCAGGCTTATTTTCATTTTAAAATTCCCGCAAGGGTTAATGCTTGACAACGGTGCAACGGGGGGGAGGGGGGCTGAGGGGGTGGATTAAAGAGATTAAAGGGTGGATTAAAGAGAATCTTCTGGCGAGGCGAGAAATGAACAACCCCAGCAAAAGGTGACGATCAAGCAGCGTAAAAGTTACAGTTGAAATATATATACTATATAAAGATATCCACACGAGATCGTATGACGCTATAATTTCCATTAGTTGCAATTTATGCAAAACAAATTGAAATTGTTTTTCCACAGCGCTCATTGAGTCGACTTCAAGTGGAAAATTGTGTCCGAAAGGTGCGAGAATAATGATGATAAATGGGTTTGGCCGCCATAACGCAATACGCCTCACGTCCACCCCCCTGTGTCCACCTCCCCGCGCATAATAGAGAAAACAAATAAACGATTTAGCTCTTTCGTAATACGCATTACACTCTTTTCGCAGCAGAAGGCAGACGAAAACTAGAATTATACTCTATAATAAGTTGTTGTGATAGCTAGTCAATGTGTGAGAACTATTATTGGACTATAATAATTCATGTAGAAAACGTGGCCTGAGGGAGAAGGCAGCCTTATTATATATACATTTTTCATTTTATTTAATTGGTTTTCTCGTAACTGAAGAAATTTTTGAATAAATAAATAAAACAAAAAAAAAATAAAATATTAATGTTGAAAATAAATGTATATAGGTTATATATGACGAAAGCTATAAAATGAAAGTTGTTTGATCTGCTTATACGATTCGAGAAGCTAGATGTCAAGTTAAGTGATTCTAGCTCTAAAAACTAAGAAACATAATTTAGATATAGATTTTTATCAATTGCTTGGAAACGGAGCAAGTTTTGGATTATCGGAAACAAACTCATACAGCGCGGGTACTAGAAGGACCTACCTTCAAAATTTCTCTGGGTCTTATAGGTTCTGACATCTTTGTGTTCATACATACGGACGGACGGACAGACAGACGGACATGGCTAGATCGAATATATGGGGTTGGAGATGCATTCCTTCCTACTGCCTGTTACATACATTTACTTAAATACATTATACCTTTTTAGCCATTTTCATGGGTTCAGGGTATACAAAAATAAAATAATAATATTGTAAATTCAAATTTCAAATTGCATTTCATTGTTTTATTTTCTTTAATTTGTTTTTAATTGTTTTGTCACTCACGTTTTTTCCTTTGCTCAGTTAAATCAAGATAACTAAAAACTGAGCATTTCTTTTGAATTTGAGTTGGCGACTTCACCCTTATTGGTTTGACGCGCAGACACATCAAGCCAGGCGTACTCATGACGTCACATTCGCAAAGCACATTTGTATGGCTTGATCAGGTTTTTTCACCACTTGGTATCGTGGAATTTGAATTGTATTGGAATTTTAACCGCCTTAAGGCTCACTTTCGAGCCAAAAGAAAGCTGCTGTATTACATTTTAGCTCCTTAGTTGGATGAGCCAGTTAGTCAAAACAAACTCCTTTACTTATATAGATGTAATAACCCTCAATTTTGGAAGTTCTCCAGCACTTACTACTAATAAATTTCATGCAGATGACACTGAAATTTATATAAGCCAAGCACCTGTCAGAAACAAGGCTCGTCTTCCAATTGTCTTACGTCAGCTTTTATACTGTTTGCAGAGTATCTACAGGTGTGACATGTCCAACTGCGCTCTTCCCAGTTATTTGCATTTGTCATTATAATTATTAGGCATATATTATATGCATATTAGAGCAAGGCGGCCAGCTGACAACCCCCCAAAGCGGAGGGGTGCGCCCGCAGATTATAAAAATAAATCAGCCAACTCACTGAGAAAGAGAAAGCGAGACCGCAAGAGAGAGAGAGAGAGAGAGAGAGAAAGAGAGAGTAAGAGAGAAAGATAGTATGGCTGCATCGGGCAATTTGCATAAGTTATGAGCACGCAAATTGCGTGATGGGTCGCAAAATAAATTAGTAAGTAAACCAGGTAGTCAGGCGAATAGTTGGTCCGACTAACTAGTCTGTTTGTCGTTAAACAGTTAACCGATTTAAAAGGCTGGCTGACTTGCATAAGAGCCGACTGCCATCAGAAGCCAATTAGGGGTCAGTTCTAAAAATTGCACTCCAACGCAGCGGACAAAGTCACGCGCAGCTGGCGCATATCCAAGTTGATGGAGCCGGGCGGGGAGGAACGGGGCTGGGGCTGCACCTGACCCACTCAGCGCACGTAGTTGCGCTCTGTGACTGTCCCCCCACCCCCTTTTTGATACCCTGTACAAATTTGAAAAGGATAAGCTGAATTTGGTTGGTTGCCAAGTTATGTAACAGGCAGAAGGAGGCCAGAAAGAATCTATAGATCTATATCTATATCTATGCATATATATATATATTGGAAAAACTCTTGCGCGTTATATATATATATATACATATATCCATAAATATATCCTATGACGAATATATATTGCGTATGTCCGGCTCTGCAACCGTTATTATAAACATATATATTCTCGTTTTGCCCTCGCAGTTGAATTGCATTTTATGCTAACGATAACTCTTTATTTTTTCTTCAAAATCGATAAATATCGGCTGCCTGCACATATCTATAACATATATCGGGGCTATATAAGAGAAAGTTATACAAAATTAAGCACGAAGGTGCATACAAAAGCCAATAGTATTTCATTCTATTGATAACAATAAACCAAGTCTCAAAATCGATATTTATCGATTTTCCAAATAAGAAACGAGAAATTGAAATAAGGATAAACTCGTTCTGCGTATGGTGAAGATGAATAAATATCCCAAATTGAATGTCGCTAGCTTTTGTAGTATTCCAGATAGATTTTGGGCGTTAAGGCAAGGGATAGATAATAAAACTGCAAAGTACAGCCTTAATTTTTGGTATATGTATGAACGTGAAAGACATCTTTATTATGTAAAAGTTTGGTAAAGTTTGAACCATAAACACAAAGAAATTGAGCAATGCATTTAAGCGCGTGAGTGATTTGTCTGGTTACAGGGTATCTGCTAGTCGACCACTGTGCACTCGAGCACTCTTCGTTTTAGCCGTTTTTTTTTTTTTTGGGTTTATTCACAATGAGCGCACGCAAGAGGCGGCGCGCCGAGCCGAGCAGTACAATGACACCGAGCAGCTGTCTTTGTTTACGACCCATCTCTTTCTAGCCCTGAGATGGACAATCGAAAAACCGAGTGGTTCGCCGAGTGGCGTCCATTCAGTTTCAGTTTTACCGTCGTTTTGTTTACGATGCATCCCTTTCGCACCTGCTGCAGCGGGCGCTCTCGCTCTCGCACCTGCGCAATGCCCTGGCCGCCTCCTTATGGCAAAAAGCTGCACCCAAACGTTTATGGCGAACATTTTCTTTTTTTTTATGGCAGCTGTTAGCCATAAATTTGGGTGTTTGTCG